TTTTGAAGTGCCAGGAATGTAAAATGGGTTAGATAGCTAACTGAGTTGAACAGCAGGTCGAGACATGTCACAACAGTATAATTCATCCAACAGAATGAGGATAGCTTGGGGGGTCCTAAGTTAAAAGAACTTGATTAGTCTGAGCTCAGAGTAAAGATTACCACAGACTGGTAAAGACAGGAACAAAGACATTCAAACGTGGCTTCGGGTCCTTATTCTGTAAGGTTCTATCCACAGACACCAGAATACTTAAGAACTCAGCCTCAGATGAGTCAACCTGAAGACTCAAATTGTTTAACCATCATCGTGAATGTGTTTGCTTGCTTTCAGGAGGTTGGTACTTGGGGTGCTCAGTTTGCCTCACAGGTGTCCATTACCTGAGAGTCAGGATGGGTCCCACCCTTATGCCCTATGCTGGCAGGATGTGCTGTCACGTGCTATGAGAACTAACTGGGCCTTCACTGTCAGCATAATCCATTCTCCTGCACTTTTCATGTGCAGCTCCTGTACTACAGTGGAACCACAATTCCAGCATTACAGAGTAGATGACCTTCAAAGGTCCTTTCCAACCCAAAGCATTCTATAATTCTATGAGTGCTACAAAGGAAAATCTACATCGAGCCAGATTCTGCTCTCAGCCACATGATGGTCAATACCAGGTAATGCCACTCTCTCTAAGAGGTGACAGTGGATTTATGCCATTGTTTGTGAGGTCAGAACATGGCAACTTTTTAATGTGCTGGGCTTTTTTTCACAATGTTAAGCCAAGTTCATGAGTGTGAGTTTTCTTTAGTACAAACAGGAGAGTTTGTTACTATGCCATGTGATGATTCTCCCACAATGATCTTTTAGAAAAGTGCCAAAGGATTGAAATAGGAACTTGTGACATTTACAAAGAGTTGTTAAAAGCCTTTGTGGTTCCTAGCTTTTACAGCTACTGGGCTGGTGGAATACATCCCTATTACCACGTCCTACATTCAACTTCTACAAAGCGGTGCCAAGTTACTATACTCATAATTTCCAAAATGACTGTTTCAAGCTGGCATCTTCCACTGCACTTGTACTCTTGAATTGCCCCTCATTTGGCAGTTCTTTTTCTAGTGCTCCTATGGATGGTGTAGCCTAAAACCTGTGCTGTACTCTGAGGTAGTATCACCAGCTACCTTCTGTTCCCTTGTGTGTGTTGTAACCTGCAATGGAATGTAAGTGGCTCTAAACCTCACTATGATGTGATCCATCATTTTCTGGTATTCATCTGCAGTTAAACCACAGATACCCAGCATGAATTTAGCCACTGGGTCAATATTCAGACATTATTTTCTGTAAACCAAATGAGCTTTTCCTATGCTGGATTTTTGACAGAGGAGGTAGAACTGTATATTTTAGCATATCCTGATATAGTTAGATTTGACATTCAGAATTCCAGTTGTTTATCCTGAATTTTTAGGAAGATCCATGCCAACCATATTCCAACCATTTTCAGAAATTATGCAGGCATGTGTATACAAACAGAAATTACAAATGCATCAGATTAATTTAGAAAGGTAGATTTAATCCTAACAGAAGAAGGCAGAATAGACCTCATCAAAAGCTAAAGAAAAGATGGAAGCATTCAGGCAAAATCTCTGACAGTGAGAACCATTTGTCAAGTGGTGGGCTGATTCCTCCACCCTTTGAAAGTTTGAAGTGAGTATGTCCTGCCTTCTGTGAAGCTGCTTGGCCAGAATGTTAGCAGTTGTCTGATCCTCACCTGCTTTCCTAGAGCTTTTTAGCTGTTCTCCAGCCTCTCAGTTCCTGACTTGTGCTTTGTTAAACCTGAACTCCTCACCAGGGTACCTTGCTGCCAGAAAGAATGGGCATTGTCAGCAGAAACTAATTATTTCCTCATCACATTTTATCTTGCCACAAAAATGTTGTGATCTGTCCCATTGTTTCCAGTGCTCCCAAATCATTCATGTACAGCTGACACCTCCTGTGCGGCCAGCGGTGTGGAGGATATGCTAAACTGCAGGCGTGAGAAAGTGCGGAACAGTGAGGTCAAGTCCATTAACCAGACTTGCTCAAAGTCAATGGGTGCTGAATTCTGTCACTAGGAATGCCATGGTTGGCTTGGCCACCCTAGCAGCATGAGATAATAATAACAATAATGTTTAAAACCATGCTCTAGCCAACCAGAAGACCTGGGCTTCATACAGCAACTGATACATAAAATGCTATGGCCTGTGTTAGAAGAAAGTAGCTAAAGACCTTTCTTCAATTGTGTCATGTGTATAACATCAGTGGAAATTACAGTAGATTTCATTTTAATCCATCAGCTTGATTATTTTGGTTACTGTTTGATCTTCTGGTTTGGTTCTGCTGGATAGAGAACTAGGAAGAGCTGTTGCATAGGGATTCATAACATCACCAGAACATTCTATCTTCATTATTACTGTTTGATGTTTTCACAAGTAAGGCTGATATCTGCTTTTTCCACTGAGGATAGTGAAGTAGCCATTACTCTGTAAAGTAGTTAAAGTAGCCATTACTACTTTACACTGGGTAGTGTAAAGTAGCCAGGGGAAAAAATGAAGAATGAATGCAGAAGGCTGGAATTTTGCTGCCTTGCATTCTAGCCATGCCTATAATGGACTTCCCATTGGGCCTGTCCTTCTGCTCTCTATGGAATAGGGAAGGAGAAACAGTGTTTCACCTTGCGGATATGTTGGGAAGACAGACTCAGCCTTGGGTTTGAAACACATATACTGCGGTAATTAGAACAGTACAAAAGCAAATAAAAACAGGAAGAGGAAAAGTACCTAACCCACAAAAGGATTTAGTTGATGTGCAGCAAATGAGATATGGGACCACAGATTACGTGATGAAGTTAAAAGAAATATTGAACAGCTGCTTTGCTACACAATTCTATGAAGTGAAATGACATCCTGCAGGAAAAATAGTCCAGGCTCATTTACTACCCAAGAGGGCAGAGCTAAGGTTACAGGGACTATAACAGTGTTGTCATTTCCTTACTCTCAGGAGCTGCATTTTCCAACTTGATGGCTTTCCTCATGTAATTGCATTTTATGTGATGATTTTTTAGAGCCTGATTCTTGCTAAAGTAAATCAGGAGGAACCCCGCAAAGCCAACAAAGAGATCTCAGTGAAATAATGAGGGGAGGCACTGTTGAATCAGGCATGCTCAGTCCACAACCTTCTCCAAATTCTCTAACAAATGCCCCATGCTGGAATAGCAAGTAGGTATCAGATGAAAACACAAAACAATGACAACAGTGCATTTTTCAGTAGCCACATCATATTATGTGATTGACGTCAGGTTGAGTTATATTAGTCTGCTTTTCATTATGTTGTGTTATGCCTTTTGACATAATGCAACACACTGTAAGTAACATAAAGTGACCTCCAAGTATAAAAAGGGACACAGTTTTTGGCAGATTAGATAGTGGCTGTGAATTCTCAGAGAGGGGAGGGGTCAGTCAGAGAAAGAAAGAGGTTTGTATTCAGTGTCCTGAGCAGCAAATGCACAGAACTTTTAACAGTTACAACAGCCCTGGCTGTTTCCAACTAGGTGTATGTGCCTCCACTCAACAGAGAGGGAAGATTCTCACTGGGATTTGCATGCTTTAGTATGTTTAATATTCTGCAGAGGTATCTGTAATAGCTCTGTCATTTCTGTACCTGAACTGGAGGAGCCCCATTAACAGTGAATGTAAGACTAACTTTCCTGAGACTTACCTTGTTGCCAGGCTCCAAAATACAGCAGTCAGACCAGGCTTAACCAATGGTCTTTCTGAGTGGTACTGTCTAACCTGCCCTCTGTATGAAGAATTTAATCAGCTGTTAAGAAAACTACTGCAGGGGGAAGGGGAATCATCATGGCTCTGAAAAGAAGGGGAGCTCCTCATTAAGGTGATTAAGGAGAAGTGGGTGCTTCAAGGGAGGTTGCTGGTTTTCTCTCGGGGGCTTGAAATCCACCTCACCTTGGTAGTTGTTGATGGTGGCTTTGTTGGAACAACCTGGCATTCTCACTGAAGTGAGACCTGCTTGAGAGGCACATGGTCTATACTCTTGATCCATGGTTTGACATGGGTTAGTGATGGCCTTGGCAGTGCTGGGGAATGGTTGGACTTGACTCCTCCAACCCTGCAGTCCACTCCGCCCTTCCGGCTAACTCCCAGTTACATCCTGGGTATGACGTGCTGTGGTATGGAATACCTCTTTGGTCAGTTTGGGTCAGGTGTCCTGTCTCTGCTTCCTCCCGGCTCCCCTCCTCCCTGGCAGAGCATGAGGCCCACAAAGTCCTTGGCCAAACCAAAACATCATTGTTTTTCAGCTCTGTTCCCAGCTGAAAGTCAAAACACAGCACTGCACCAGCTACTAAGAAAGAGAAAAATGACTGCCACTGCTAAACCCAGGACAATGATCTTAAAGGTCTTTCCCAACCTAGTAGATTCTATGATTCTATGCATTTTCTGTCATTTCTCCATTTAGAAATGTAGCATGAATTAATATCTACTTAATTTCCAGGCATGCACCATTTCTTTCAGATGTGCATGAGATGCTGCCCTTGTTTGTTAAGCTGCTAGGTAACAGAGAATTAGTAGTTACTTCTTCTGAGCAGTGTGCAATAAAGCAGCTCTGCTCTCCATCCTGCAAAGAGACCTGTGCAATCAGACCCCTGTGACACTGACATCCACAGTGCTCTGCATGACTGCAGAGATCTACCTTTAAGTATCATTTTGCAGCATCAGAGAGTCCAGAGTTAAACATGAAGTGTCCTGACAGTATTGTTAAGTTCATAAAGAAAGCTGTTAGCCTATACTTGATAAGCTCATAAGGAAAGCTGTTACCCTTTGTAGGACAGCAAACCTTGCTTATGGCCAGACAAGACAGTCTCAACCCTGGAAAATCTCACTCTGATTTGCAGCCAGGTTGGACCTCAGGAGACTTACTGTTATTATTTTCTTTGCTAATAAATCATTATGTTGTCTCCTTCGCAGCACAGAATTTTCAAATCAACCTGTCCCTGTGACAGTCTGATGCTCTGAAGGAGTGTCCTGTTCCGTTGAGTCACGTGGGAGGAAAACACAAAGCAGTTGAAAGACAGATCCAAAACGGGTAGCAGAAAGGGCCCTGGAGGCAGCCTTAAGTTTGGTATTTAATATTTCAGGTAAAATACTCACTTAGCATCAATTATCTTGTTGGGTTCTTCCCCCCCCCCCTTTTTTTTTTTTTTTTCAAATGAAATTGCCTCTGAATCAACCACTCTCTAATTACCACACTGAATGATTGAAATTTTTAGGGCAATTAAATTCAAGCCTTTCTTTTTCAGTTCTTACGTTATCCCCCCTCCCCCCTTTTCTCCCTCCCCTCTCCAGTCTGGAGCCTTTCCATAATTTGGAGGCAGTTGCAGAAGCTAGCAGACCTTTAAAGCCAAGATGTATGTCTCCCTTAATTCCTCTGTGGATTTGTTTTATAGACTAAGCAGGGAGGGTTCTGGTCTCTCAGGACATGTGCGTTGCAAACACACAGTATCGTGTGGGTTTTATCCTAACATGTCATGTCATTTAAAAACAGCTTGGAAGAAGTAATTTAGTATAGGAATTTTGTGAAAAGACAAAGATCAAGGTAAAAAGTACATGCACTATCGAAAATGCCTGGAAAACTAAGGAGCAGATTGATGATAATAATGATGATTGATGAGATATTAGATAAGAGGAAACAAACTCCCAAAGAAACAGTACAAAGCATCTGTTAACAGAGCTGTTAGGATAAACTCATGAAATGGCTGGATGAAAACACAAGTATTCTTCCAAAAAAGGACACAAAATTCAGAGTGGAATCCTGGGCCCAGTGAACTCAGTGACAAAGCTGCTGCTCATTTGGCTGTCTTGTCAGGATTAGAGCCCTGATCCTGCAAAACAACTAACTGTATTCTTAAATGCAAGTATGAGCGCTATTACCTTAATTTCAGTGGGACTGTAAAGTCAAGCGGATGCCTAACATCTTTGTTGAATCAGGATTTAACCCAGGGAACCTGGTAAGTCTTTATCACAATGAACCTTTGAAACTATGTAAGATTTACCTTGAAATCCTGACTTTGAGGTTTCCAGATGACCAAATTCAATCTAGTATATACAAACCTGGCTCTGCTCTCCAGCAGGCACACGGACTGAGAGATTTATTTTTATGCTGTGTTACACTAGATATTGGTATAATGTCACTGAAACAGATGGACACTAGGCTGACTTCCAACTTGTATCCACAACAACTTCACTAAAGCCAGGTGAATTGTATTATGCTTATTTATTACTTAATTATCCCTGTAGGTGTTTGAGGTACTTCATAACAGCTGAAACAGTCCTTGCCCTGAAGAGTATGCACTCAAATCTAAGATTAGAGATGACAGCACTGCAAGGGGTTGGACCTGGAGGGAGAACAAGGCTCTTGTTCAGCTACGTACTTCAATGTATGTCTGTCTCAAAGTTCAGTTGATTGGTGAAGCACTTTTGTGACTCAAGGTTAGGGTTACTGGTGAAGGACAAGTATTTCAGATGCTAGTGTACGTATGTTCCTGAAATACCTGTTGTTGCTGCTGGTGTAAATGGATGTCCTTGTATAGATACTGTAACAGATACAGATTAGACCTTTAGGAAATCTGATTTAATGTCATGGAATTATGCCATTCTGTACTAGGTTAGTGTTTTGGCCCATTGTGATAATGCCAAACATGATTTATGAATCAGTGGAATGTGTAGGTATTAATGTCCGTGAGCATTCCTCAGGAGACGTAGCCCTTGTGGCTCCTATGCTGCCTCCTGTTTTCTCCTGCTCTCAACACCATATTCATTGCTATTCTTTTTTTGTGCTTAAAGTCCATGACTCTCCATCAATTTGCAGTAGTTTGAGATCTGACCCCTGGACTTCAGGATATGTGATAGATTCAGGGAAAAGAGACTTGACTTGAGGTACTTAACTGCCATCTGTAGAACAGTGCTTTTTCGCCATGGCTCCCCATTATAGCTGCACCTAGGCAGCACCTCAGGCATTGTTCTGGAGCTCTGAATGCAGGCACCAGGCTCTGGAGTGATCTCAGTGTCCCGAATTTATTGCTTCTTTCCTCTGCAATTTTTCAAGGTGAGTGTTTCTCTTTCTGCTATTTCAGGATGCCATGTCCACTTGAAATCTCTTTAGTGCATGCCCTGTGTTCATTATTTAGAAGTATGCAGGAAAGCCCCTTCAGCTCTAGCTTATTGTGAGTGCTGTACAATTGTATCCTAACTGCCTACTCTACTTATCTGCTGCATTATTCCTGTGAAGGCTAAAGCCCTGCACGGAACAGGTGCTTGGAATGGTATTGGGATTCAATTACTGCACTTTTCCAACCTTACATCTATTGTCTAAACTTGGAGCAGGCATATTTTTATTCCTTGGCGACACTATATAAAGAGACAACTGGCATTGTGTTTACTGGCTGACTAGTTGGCAGAGAAGGGGTGGAAGGCACATCAGCACTATGGTAGGTTTAATTCTTTCCCATGTCTGTCTGTTGATCTCTCTATTTCTTTCTGACTCTAACAAGTCAAACAGAGCAGTAATGACCACACCAGGCTCCATATAATCTCCTACTTAGTATCACATCCAGAATGAAGATCTCTGTCAAAGAGCGAGCTGTGAACTTCCAAGGACTTTTCTGCATATGTTTAACAAATGAGTAAGGTAGAGGACGTAGATGCATTTGCTGAGAGAAGGGCTCGGGCAACTCTTTCCAATACCATTGGGCAGCAGTGACTGGTGTGCAGTTAATGCTGAGGTCTGCTCTGGTGTGATGGGGAGTGAGGGAAAGGGGTATCTGTGTAACTGTTGCTCTTGAGGCTGTGGGGAGAAATAGGAAGTAATGCAGAAATTTGTGTCTTGTCCCTGCCCTGCTCACTGCTGGCTTTTAGCTCTGGACTCCAACAGCCACCTCTGCACCAAAAGTGTGCATGATGTGATTCCAAGGAGCAAAGAACTCCTGCCTAGAGAGCGGTGTGGGCAGATTGGGCTTTATCTTTGTCTTCTGCAAATTCAGAGGAATGACAACAACAATATTAAAACCAAAAGCTGGTTATTTTCTCTTTCCTTGTGTTTTTCCTTTTTGCAGGTCCTTTTCAGGCTGTCTTAAAGTAATACTGCCCAGTGGCTCCCTGGAGCTATGGAATATTTGATTCTGGAAAACACCGGAGAGGGAATTGTGTATGAAAAGCATTCTCAAAACTTAGTTTGAACCTGATCCCATTTAAGCAGGTGATGAATGGGATCCAAGTGTTGTTCTGAGCAGGATAAAATCATGTTCAAAGTAGTTTCTAAAATCCATGACAAAACCAGGTTCCAGTTTCAGTCAGTGCAAGCCCGGTGTCAGTGGTTTCACACTGAGTGCACAAGTCGCTAACCACTGTTTCAGGACTGAGCAGTGCCTTGTGCTGACCGTGCCTCTTCGGTTGTGAATTTACAGGTTTCCCTTTAATCAGCTTCACTGAAGTTGAATCCAGCCCTTTTGTGGGGTGGGGTGCAAGTGCTGGGCCTCAGGTTTTCTTTTTCCCCTCTTCTTTAGAATGCTATTTACCAGTTTCCTTCCCACCTATTTAGTTCAATGACACACCACAGTGCTTGATGTTTGAAGGTATTTCAGGACATTCTGTGGTGAAATTGCTGAAGTGAGGAGATGTGAAAATATAGTGACAGACTAGTCTGGCTCCTTGCTCTTGTTCAACCAATGATTCTCTGTGGTGGTTCTTTTCATTGTGCCTTTTGTTTTGGGAAAATATCTTCTGAGGTACCTTCCTATACAGGGACACATGAAACGGATTTAAAATGGGAAGAGAAAAATAGCTTTAATGAAAGAAAGCTGAGGAATATCTTTACATAAGGAAGTGATCATTTTTTATTAATCAGAGGGAAATGTATATGTAATTATGCTGGATGAACTCTGTGGGGAGGTTTTTTTCTCTCTTTATGATGTCTTAAGGGATTTATAAATATTACAGAGGTTTTATAGCATCATAATATTTCAGATGTGCAGTAAAGCTACTTTCAAAGGATTAGTGCAGACAAAGCAGCATAGTAAAAAATAATTACAAGTCAGGCAGTGCTACTAGGCTCTGACATCCAGGGCTGATGAGAGCGAGAGAGGCAGGGTTCAGGGAGATAATTTCTCTAACAAGAGCAGACCACACAAGTGCTGTGGAATGGAGTTCTGAGAACTGTCTGCAGCTCTCCGTTAATTCCAGGGCATTTCAGTGAAGTTGGGTCTGTGATGTCTCCCTGTGTGCTCTGTGATGATGGAGAGAATGGAGGGAGGAAGAGAGGCAGAAGGAAGGAAAAGGAAGCCTTTTTCTTATTCCCAAAACATTCCTGTGTTTATCCAGTTTGAGTGACACCTTGTAGCAAATTCTGTGTGCTGAAGGGAGCTGCACACCCCAAAATAGACTGCATTCTGATCAAATGTGTTTTCAGGCATCTTAACTGTCTGGAATGTACCACCTGTACTGAAACAAGCACTGACCTCAGCGGAGCACTGCTGATATCACCCGCTGAAAATATGGTGTGGTTGTGTATGCATCTGCACATGCGTGTGTGTGTACATGTGTGTGTGTGAGCACAGAGGGCTCTGTATGAGAGGAACTGTTCATCTGTTTATGTGAAGGAGGAAGACATATATATGCCAGAGAAGAAAATGTATTGGGTGGGGAAAGCAGCTGGTGAATTTTGGGTCATAGAGGTTGAGCAGTCTGTGATTGGAGAGGTTATCTGCTGTTCCAAGATGAGTCTGGGGAGATAATGCATTCCCTGTGTATATCTGAGCAGGAGAAAAAGGGAGACTGGTATTGGGAAGAGATTTTATGTGGGGCAAAGGAGAACGCTTGAGTGTATGGGAGTGTGAAGCAGGGAAGATGCAGTCCCACGGATTTTTGTATCTGGCAGGGATCAAAGGTGTGTGTGCCTGTGTGGGAATGTGGGAGGCTGGGGCTACGTATAAAATGGAGTGAGGATGAGAAGGGAGGAATCTGTTCGTGAGTGCAGAGTAGGTAATAAAAAGGTCTTCTGTTTCTCAGTTCTGATAATGTGGGGTTTTATTTGAATGATCTTAGGCTGCTGCCTGTTTGAAATGCAAATTGTGCCCTTAGAGCAGTTTATGTTGCTTACTCCTCTAGACTGTTCCCTCAAAGGCATGCACTTGGGTTGGCCTTATGCTACTCACCTGCCATCAAAAAGACCCAAACCCCACTAAAAAGAGTGGCTTGTCCATGGCTGGGATCTTCGGTGCAGATACAGGGTAAATTATCTCCGCAGAAGAAGCTTGTGAGACATTCATCAACAAAAATCCTGTCCAGTGCTGCACAAATCTGTTGGACAGGCCTGACATGGAGGTTTTGGTTCAGAAGCCAGATTCGATGATAACAAAAATTCAAAGACAGGAAACATCAGCACTGAGATCCCAGAGTGGATGAAAAACAAGGAAAGAGTGTGATGAATGAAAAAGTAAGAGTAACTCAGAGTTAACGTCATACTGTGGATCACAGTAGGGGACAGAATCTGAGCAAGATGATGGATGATTCTGTCTTTCCTGTAGTCATGGACATAGTCGCAGAGGAAGGAAGTATAAAATGTGAAACAGTGCAATTTAAAGCTGGTAGTATCTTCTGTCTAGTTTGCTCTGGGCTGAATACAGAAGGGTACAAGACAACAGAATCGGGCTCTTAATAATGTACTCTGCTATTTTGTCTCTGAAGGACTCTCTCCCAGGAGACCTGCTCCTCCATTGGTGCCTTCTCTGGTAACACAGTCACTTGCTGAGTGAGGAAGTGTTTCTGCTTGTCTTTTAACTCTGGCTGTCAGGAGCATCAAACTGTGTCACCTTTAGTTAGAGTATTTTCTGAGTGGTTTCTCTAAGGTTTGGTCCAAACAGGGAACTGACCTCCCCAAACTAAACCAAAACTGTGGCTTCTCCAGAGTGCTGCCCGTTTTGCCTGGCTGCCCATGGGGGCATTCTTGCTCTGCAGAAAATGCTAAATAGAGTTTGGTTACTTCATACTTACTGAAGGGGGGGAAGTGTGCACCTGAGCAGTCAGTGTGGAGTAGTGCCAGTTACGGAGCTGTACCTTTGCTTATCTTGCAGCAACCTGCCTGTTTTACCACACTTTCCTCGGCTGTCTGCAAAATTCATTGAGGGATTAAGATGATAAAGTTCTGCAATAATCCAGTGTCACTTCCTTTGTCTCTCTGGTGTCATGAACCTGCTCTAGCAGCAGCCTTTTATGAATTTACCAGGGTAAATAATGCCTCATGTTCTGAATGAGAACCAAGTATTTTCAGCTCCTTCTTCCTTTGCATATGGACATACAAACTGATTCCCTGCCCCCTTTTCTTTTAGGTCACCCTGAAATAAGAGATTTCTTCACTCTGATTCACTTGAGCATACACTCCCCTCCGCAACATATAAAAGATGAATCCCTATATCCAGAGAGGCAAAGGCTCTGCACACACGTTGTTCCTGCCTGCCTGTGTCACTGCACTATTCCTGTTCTCTCTGGCTCCCTGACACTGCCTGAGAGGAGAAATATAGGGAACCTCAGTGAGGGAGACTCAGCTCAAAGCAAATGCCTGCTTCAACAGAGTTTTCTTGGGACCAGATTTTAGCGTGGCTCCATTTTTTCATTTAAATCTTCTAAAACAAACCAAGACCAACAACATAAAAAGCCTTTAAAATCGAGGCTAATTGAGAGAGTGCTAACACCAGTAAGACAAATGAATGATATGCGCAAGCCTGTGGTTTCTCTTCTAAAGTGAAGTGTTGTTTTCTTCACAATGGGGTGATTAATACACTCAGGCAGGAATATTAATAGGCTTGTTCAGTTGTTGCAACATTCTTCCCACTGCTGTGCTATTGAGGCCTTGGAATCCAAGCCCAGGGGACCCTCAGCTCTTCAGTTTCTCATCTGGCACGTTTTGTATGTCAGTCTCAAAGCACATGTTGCAAAGACAGAGCAGCTATCTTTGCAAAGTGCAGCTCAGCACACTTTGCATTTTACAAAAGGGGAAAACAAGGCAGACAGAAGTGATGTGTCAGTTACACATTTACTCCTCTGTAGGTCACCTACTAAATCCTTGACAGTTTAGAATCCATATGGGTGCTCAGTTCTGTATTGCTGTTTTTACAATATCATTCTTTCAGAAGGATATTCCAGAGTCAGAATCCTGATTCTGGTCACTAAAAAATTCTGTAGTGTTTGAAGTCATCAGAGGGAGCAGCACAGACCTATTTCTATTCTCTTAGAGCTGCCTTTTGCTTTGACTTGCCCACCAGAAAGACAGTGACAATGTGCTGTATTCTGTTCCTGCTCCTCCTACTTATTTCTCAGCCTTCCTCTTCATAATTCCTGCCTCCCACCAGTCATGCAAAATCAAGGTGCAGTTTCTTTCTGTGATTATGAATTTCCCAGCCCTTCAGAGCAGATAAATTATGTTCCCAATACTGTGTATGCAAAAACCAAAGAGACTGATAATCCAAGATGCTCTCCATGTTTGATGCCAAAAGACTTAGCTTAATCCTGGTGATGGAAAGCCATTCCCATTCAACAGCTGTTCCCCTGTGAAATGTAGTGGTGGTCTCAGTCCCATTCCACACGTGAGCAGATCATAAATTGGATCCACATCCAGAGCTTCAGCAGAAAAACTAAAGATAGATTGAGCGACATGGGCACAGATCCCCTTTATCATCCCTGGAGATAACAAACCAGAGAGTAACACGGAACAAGTATTGTGCTAAGATGGATTTCTCCTAGCACGGGGATGGACTCTTGATAACTGGTCTTCAGTCTTTTTTGCCTTGATAGGACTTAATTAATGTAAAGAAACTTTTGGATATTTTTGTGTTGCTGGTCTGTTTCTAATAGATACTGAGCCACAACTTTTAGGTTTATCTGATCCTTTCTTACAGCTATAATCCTTGCTTAAAGCCATACAGCAGAGAGAACCCATTAAACTGAGACATAATGGAAGTATATTGCCAGTGTTTGGCATTTAGAGTTAATACTTGGAGCTGGAGCTCACTGTCCTTCATTGTGGTGCTGGCTTAAAAAGATGCAGATTGTTTGTGAACACGGGGAATATTTACCCTGCTGGATTTGGGTGCAGTACTTGGTCACAGCAGAGCAGAGCATCAGAATGGTGAAGGCCATTTTGTCTTCATGAAGAACAGCTACACAAGCACAAGAGAACCAGTTCTACTACCCCATCCGCAAACGTGGCAGCCAGCCTTGTGCCCTGTGGTCAGTTCCCCAGACAGTTTGCAATACATTCCACTGGGTAACATCTGCTTTCTTTTTACCTTGGGGAACAAATACATGTAAATACGTAGGATTGTCCTTTATATTTCCATTCGATCTGAAAGTGTTGAAAACCTCCACCAGGCACCTCACGTTACATGGAAGATTGCCCATTACTGCTCAAAATAACACTTATTTCATGTGTAGGAGGAGAAGGGAATATGTTTATTCCAAAATCAATATTTCTACATTCATTAAACATTCCACTTCTTCACTTTCTTTTCCATGCCTGTAGTGGCATTCTGTCCTGATTTTTATCCTCACTACAAAGACATTTTTCTTTCAATTTCCATTCCTATTTCCAGATTTTAGTGCTTTGCACTAGCTAATGGGAGCTTGACAGGTCTGGAGTGTGGGGATGGGGATAAGTATCTACCATAGCCCTCATTTGCAACCTGGGATCTAAACCAGGGTGGCTGCATGTGGAGATCTGCCTGGCAGATTAAATTGATCAGACAATGTATACTTCAAACAGAGTCTAGTGGGAATATTTCCTTGAGCTGTTCTGCTCCTTAGGATGTTTGAAATCAGGATTGAATTTGAACTTCCATGGGCTTTTTTACTTTGATGAAAGGAGACAGTAGAAGTTGCCTTCTGTTTCATGCAGAATAGCCCAAACTAAGTAAGACTAATTTTCCATGACATGAGAACAAGGTGGGACTATGATGATGAAGTTTAAAAGCAAAAATGATAAAGAAAAAAAGCAGTCTGTCTGGAAGACAACTCAAAAGGCGAGGTAGGTCATTATCCTGCCCCAAGTCAGGATAATACTGTGGTTAAAACATTTCTGTAATCCTTAGGCATCACAGATCTTATTTACTGCAGAACAAGAACTGTATTGTCTTAGGCAAGCTGGTTGGGCCCTTATTCAAAGATACGTAATGAAGTCTCGTTCTAACTGATTTTAAGTGAGCATTAGATTCTTAGATATCATTGTAGCTTTTTCCCCAAACTTTCTGTCTCAGTCTTCAGACTACAGAATAGTGATAAAAGCAGTCCAGCCCTTTTATTTAAGATTACTATCTTGAATATTAAAATTATACGGGCTAGTAAGGCAATGCAACGTAGTATCATAGGTTGGTGCAAGAATATAGACTATTCTCCAAATAGAGAAGGCTCCTACATAGGAAGAATCTGTTCAGTCAGTGGTGGTCCAGACAGACCAGGCTTCTTAATGTTTCTGCGTAAGTAGGAAATGATGTAATTTCCCTTTATAGCTCCTGAACTGAGTCTTCATGCAAGGCCTCATTTTGTGCCTGACTGCCTATCCCAGCATAGGCACTGGGAAGAAGGAATACCTACAGCCATTTACCTGAACTGCTTATATTTCTGGAGAGCAGGAGGCTGGGAATTTTAGTTCACATCTCCAAGTGAGACTATAAGCTTACATCACTCCTCCTCTAGTACAGAGCTCTGAAAAGCCACTGCAGAGGGGCAGTAATCTCCTCATCAAATGGTCTGGCATAGGTGATTCTATCCAAGGAACAGGCAGTTTCCTGGGGAAAGAAGCAGTGGACCAGCTGTGATGTTCAGAGAGTCATGCTTTGGGTCCCTTGCCTTTTTTAGGGCAGCACAGTGACAAGCTGTTCGTGTTTATCTGAGCTGCTAGCTTCCAGGCCAGAGCAAGGGAATGACAAAAAAGCTTCAGAGATTGATCTGTTACTAAAGCAGCATTTTTTATCCCATATGTATATATTTATATATATACACATACACATGTATATAGGATTGAATTAAAAAGCTTGTCATAATGAAACACAATCCTCTTGTATTACTTGACAGTATTTTCCTTCTGTTAAAGATGGAATTTGTTTTCATGGGTGTTTAACAGATAAAGTAATACGTATTTGATCTTCTTATATATGTTACAGGCTCCAAAAAAGGCAAAGAAGAAGATAGAAGGTGGTTCCAATGTATTCTCTATGTTTGAACAAACCCAGATCCAGGAGTTCAAAGAGGTTGGTCACTATTCTGCTGTTCTCTATAGTCTCCTGTCATCGCTAATGAATAACATAGGTTTTGTTTGTAATCCTTATTCAATTCTCCATCTGCTTTAATAGAACACACAGTTGTTTTCTGAATCATCTCTGTGGTTTTGGCTGGTATATCATTTTCCTTGTGTGTTTGTTTGTTCTTTCCTTCATTCTTTCTTTCATTCTTTCTTTCCTTCCGTCTGTGTCTCCCTCACTCTGCTGTCTCAAGCTCCAGACTTACTTGAAAAGCCCCCAAGCCCCTTCCCCAAAATAAAGTCAAATTACCATCTTGTCCACTGTAGCCCTGATTCAGGAAAACACTTGAGCACATGTTTAAAGTTAAGTTTAAGTGGTGTTTTCAATAAGAATAGTCTTCCGTTCTCAAGTATTATCCTGCATAGAGGTGCCTTATTGAACCAGGGCTTTAATTAGTGCACTGTTCCACAATAGCAGTAGAAAATATTCTTCTGTGCCCTTCTAATAATGCCCACAAACTAGAAAGAAAAATACCAAGAAGCCCTCAGCCGAGTTTTCCCATAAAAGCCAATAAAACAAAACAACATGTTGAGATTCACTAAGTAAGCATATTTAAGCTCCCAAAGAATTTGGTATTACCATGCATCTTTGACCTTTGAGGAGGTAAATCTAATGGGCTGGCATAAAAGCTGAAGGACATTAAAGACATAATTTGGTGAGTTTATGCTCTTTTTCTGTGTGGACATTCAGAATTCCTGTGAGGCCAGCACATTTTGCACTGGTTTGGCAGTTTAAAATATGTTTTTTTTCTCTATTTTTGCTAACTCACACCTCCAAAGCAATTTCCAGTGTGATAAACAGCTACTGTTTCATTTTATTCATGTGGCTTTCAACTTGACTTTTCATGAAGATTCCCACCAGTAAAGCTCAGTAGTGAATAGGACTAAAAACGCATGCAAAGGATTGTGAACATGGCCCAGGTAAATTAACTGAAACCTCTTCTCCACAGTTAATGGGAACATTAACTTCTCCCACCTCTTTTCCATATCCTATGAATCCCCAGTTGTATTTTCTCCAAGGTCTGCTGCTTGTGAACTGGTCAGAATACTATATTGGATCTGCTTTAAGCAAGGTACTACCTTAATATCATTTCTGGGAGAATGGTGGCAGAATAATAGTAAAAGCAGGGAGTTGTCCAGAGAAAACCAAGACCATGTTGTGTCTAAAACCAGCATAACTGGGACAAGGATTTCTGAAAAGCTGGTTTTGATCAGAGCACTTTTATCTAGCGATTTCAACCAGAAGAAGTTTCAGCATTGCCGTGACTACGTTATTTTAAGTTCACCCATTACAACACATACCTAACACTTTTCCTGCCTTCTGTGAGCCTGCTGGGCTCTGCTTTGCTCTTTATATTTTCTTCTGGTTTGCATCCAAATTGTGGGGATCACCACTCCAAGCAAGCCTCTCCCCCAAGAGGAAGGAAAGCAGCTCTAAAGAGTTTTTATAAGGTGACGGTTTGGCAGGTAAATGAAGGGTTATGAACATGCATGCTGCAAGTAATCACATGGGCAAACCGGAATGTGAGCAGTGGGGCTTTGTAAGAAACTAGAGGTAAAACTACTTGAAGATATGTTGATATATGGTCATGGAAAGAAGTGCACCCTGTAGAGCAATAGACTTTAAACCTCTGCAAGTTCCTGCTGCAGTGGGCTGGCTGTATTCTCAGGAGAACATTGTCTTTCATACTAATGCTGAAATCAGAATAATTCCTCGTCATTGTAAAGATACACCCTCATATTGATGTGCATGTCAGACAGATAACCAGCTTCAGAGACATGTCTGCTTCTACTAATACTCCCCATAGTACAACCAAGGGGATTTCAGGTCACTAAAATCTTTCAAAATCAATGAAACATTAAAAATGTGATGGCAGGGAATAGACAGACATGCAAATAGGTAAATACATAGCTAGGCAGTTAGCTGGCTTAGTAAATAAAGGGTACAGCACAGAAGTCCTGTGTTGGTTGAAAATGAAGAGATAACTGTGTTTTTTCTCTCAAAAGTTAATTTTTCCCTGACTGGAAGTATTTAAGGTCAGCACATCAAGGTCAGCCGGAGCACAGTGAACAGTCTGAAGGATACAAAATTTATTGGAAAGGAAACAAACTTGGAATAAACAATACTGTGAAACCTACATTTCTCTGTACGTTTGAAAATCCAGCTATCTCTGTGTGATGGATCATTTTAGGGCCCACAAGGAGCTGACTGTAGCTTGATACCAGAGAGATATCTACAGTAATTAAATGTTTTACAGACTCTGATAGCTGCACAAAGGAATGAGGAATGGGAAGGGTACAAAACACACAGAGTAAACCGACTAAATCTTCCCTAACTAAAGCCTCCCTAATTCAAACTTTTATGGGTTAAGGCCTGAATGGCTGGAGCTGCCAGCATTGGCTTCAGCCCAACTACACACTGCACTGAACATTAATTTAGTAAGAAGAACTTTGGGTGGGATGAATTAAGCCCTTTGCCAAGCTACAGCAATGTGTTGAAAGTGAGGAAAGTGCAATATGTGGCATGATGTGGATGAAGCAAAGGAAGTGATTCTTTTTCACAGCATAAATATAATACCCCCCTGGACTGGTGTTTGGGACTGTAGCATTGTCCGATGCAACATAGCAATGGCAGTAAATATTCCTTTTTCTTCCAACAGGCTTTTACCATCATGGATCAGAACAGGGATGGCTTTATTGACAAAGCAGACTTGAGAGACACGTTTGCTGCACTAGGTAAACTGGTAGTAAGAATTCAGTACTTAAACGCAGTTTAAATTTCAAGCACAGAAGAAAAGTTTGTATTAGAATTACACTGGGAAAGTAATGAGAGACACAGGAGGCAAAAGGAAAACTGTTCAATTTGATTTTCCTCCTTTATGGTAGTTGCTATTTGACTACATAGCTCCAGCTGGAAAGTCTCCTGAGCAGCCTCTTTTAGAAGCGAAATGAAGGTCTCCCTGGGACTCTCTGCTGGGTGCAGCAGAGCTGTGCAGCTCCATAGGCACTGATCCCTCCCCTGCAGCTATGTCATACAAAGCCCACCCAAGCAGGGGTCCATGCCAGGCATTTCTGATTTGCCTCTGAATCCAGGCTTCACAGGCTACACCTTTTTCATGTAAGAGCCATGTGATATCTACCGATTAACATTGTTGTCATAGACTAGCTGCCCCTCTGCCCACACAAGAGTAGAAAGACTTCATGTGAGGTTCTGTGCTGTTGGGTTTTTATGTGAAGTGGAATGTGCATGTCATGAGATTAGGTATTGTCCATTCCATGCGCATCACAATCCTGATAATGTCAAGCAGATGAAGCAAATCTTCCCAAGGAAAGGAAAAATCAGAATGCTCATGATTCCAAACCTGGAGTTGTATCCTTGTTGCAACATTTGAGGCTTGAGCAGTGATGTAGGCATTTGGGCTTTTGCCATCTGGATCCTATTAAAAAGAGTTTGATAAGAATCTTTAGAGCTCCCTGGGGTGGAGTCAGACACCAGCAGAATCACTGCAAAGAGCAGAAGCTCCTGAACTCTTTATTGTGACAACGAAGTTTGCAAACTTTGGCCTGTAGCTACTGTTACCCTGAAATATTTACTTCTTAAGGCCAAGTTCTGGTATCTTTCTTGTTCAGTGAAGTCTTTCAATGCCTATAAATACCATCACAGCAAATTGCCCCTCAGTTTGAGTAGAGCTGCCAGGGGCTAAGTTCTCATCAATAGGACTGTGCAAGGATGGGGAAGGGACAGGACTGCACAAGGGTGAGGAAAAGATACAACTACTCAACTCATCTATCTGCTCTCTACTCTTAATATATAGGAGGGCAAAGTCTGAGACCTTGGAATCACTTCAGTCACTTTGAGCTCTGTTATATTAATATCAGTGGGGCTTGTGTTTCACCTGAGGCAAAAAAAAAAAAAAACCCAACCCAAAAATGAAAACCAGTTTATTTGGAAGTGCCCCTTCTTTCGTCCACTGCTGGCCACGTCTGTATTAGTTATCCTTCTTACTCCTTCAGTCACCCTTTGATCTTAGAGCCAGCTCTGCCAATTTGTTTCACACCGGGGTGTTCTGGAGTTGTGTTCTACCATGTTATTAGCGAAGTTGCACAGAGCCCTGAGCTCCCCAGTGGGAGGAGATGAATGGGAATCGTTTTTTGAAACACAATTTGTGATTTATTATGAAAAATGATCTCTGCTGCAGGTCGTCTGAATGTCAAGAATGAAGAGCTTGAAGCCATGGTGAAGGAGGCGCCAGGTCCTATTAACTTCACTGTCTTCCTGACTATGTTTGGGGAAAAGCTGAAAGGTAAGTACCTTTGGGGGGTTGGAGAGGTATCTGTCAAAGATCCTCAGCACTGAAATATCTCAGCACCTTGCAAATCATAATAATGTATCCACAGAAGAATGCTTAAAGGCAAGGAGTGATCTCCATTTTTGCAGACAGAGCTGAAGTATGAAAAGGCTATGGGATGGTCCAGAGGACAATTCAAAGGTGTTGATTTCAGCTTACATAAGCTAACATGAAAGTGGTAAGTTGAGGTCCAGAAAGTAATGAAATCACAGCAGCCTGGAGCACAGTGCAGATGAGTTACTCACTGTCAGTGGGTTCCTAGGCTGAATGAAGTCTATTGCTCATGCTATAGTGGTATCACTCCCAGTGTTAGGTGGTTTAAAAGTATTTTCAGTATTTCTAAAAGAAAAACCTTCTGCACACCTTTGGCTCAATAACAAACACAACCTCTGCATCATTCCTGCAGTTACAGGGCATGGAGGAGCAACATGGCCTTCCCTCATTTTCTGTAGGAGTTATAACCCAGTGGCCCAGCCTTGGTTTCCCTTGAGGTCAACAGTGATTTTTACCATTGGATATTTTGCTGAATAACTCATAATAGAAGGGAGAAATTGAAATAATTTCAGTAGATTTACGTTGATAAGGAAGAGGGATTTTGCCCAATGCCACAGAATACGTAGGGATCACTGTAGGGAGTTCAAGAAATGTGGGTACTAAATTTGTTGCAGGAGCTAGTAATTTAGTTGTGTCTCTTATACTGTTACTGGCTAGAAAGGGCAAGAGAGGGAGTGGGAGAGGCCAAGGGAAACCTCTGGTCATTTTCCTATATGCATTAGAGGTAAGGGAAAGCCTTGACCTTCAAAGCAAGGTTGGCCTTAGCCAAGCACATTCCAGAAGTATGGTAAAATAATTAATGAGCAGAAAGCCAGAAAAATCTGATCCCATCTTCTGAAAAACATTCATTGTGTTGCTACTGGACTCTGTCTTTTTATTGCTGAGCACAATTTCAGTGAAGGGCTTTCCAAGCTTGGAATAGGAAACAGAGAGGTCTGAAAGAAAGAGTTAATGCAGCTAGTTCTCCAAGAAATACACTATTGCTAAGGAACAAAGTCTGGGAAGCATAAGAAGTGACGGCAAAGGCTGTAGACTGACATTGAAGAGAGGATTTTATTACCCAGACAACAATTTGACTTGGTCACAGTGGCTCCTCCACCTTTACATTCCAGATGTCAGCTTGCAGAATAGGTAGTGCCTTTTCCTCCCAAACCTTCCTCCTCAGATATGTGACTATTTCTTGTGGGGTGCCCTGCTACCTATTCCTGTCTATTAGTAATGCTTACCATCACACAGAGCATAGAAATTCCTTCTTCTTCTTTCCCCTCTTCCCTCTTGTGTCCTACAATGGCTGAAGCTGGCAAGGAGTCCGGCCCTGCCAATTGTGTGACCTAATAGCAGCGCCAGCACAGGAAGGTGAATGGTGAAGCATAACCCTCTTGTCTGCAGGTTTCCTGTTGGCTACCAGCAGAGGAGGAGGGTTTTTTTGATTTCCATTTGGTGAAGGGAAAATCACAGCTGTGCTTGTCATGCCCTTCTGGTTGGGTTTGTCATGCAAAGGAAGCAGAGCCAAAAGACTGCACATTCCCAATCAAAACTAATTGGGATGAAGAGCCTTTGTAGTGCAATTAGAAAGGGAGAAAGGGCTAGAGGAAGTGGATATGGCAATTTTGCAACACTCTTTATTAGCTAAGTACCACTCAGAGAATTTGGTGAAAGGTGCTTTCTAAGTAAAATTTGTTGTGCTATAATTGATTTCTGTCATAAAGGGGAAGCTGGGATTTTCAGGACGAGCTTTAGCTTTGTATATTGAGATTATGATGCCAGATGAGCAGCTAACAAAACGAGGTTTATGTTAATGCCAACCACATGGAGCTGTTTCTACAGGGAGTCAGAATAATACAATTTGTACAGAAAACAGAGATGCCGCACTTCAAAGAAACCACTTTATTTACCAGCTAATCAATAAAGAATGCCTGCTGCATTGCTTCTCTTCAAAGCCAAAGTCCAAGGATATGACAGAGTAGAAAATGTAAAACACAGTAAGAGCAAAAAAAATCCCCCCCACAGTGGTGACTACTTTAAATGCGACCTTTCCTCTGAGCTGGAAGACGCTTCACTTCATGGGACAATCAAAATGCTCATTAAATGCCAGTGCTCTTTGTATTTATCATATATTCATTGCAGTTTGAATGCATTGCCCATAACATGGCAAAAGAACATACATGGTCCGTGCCATTAGGTTTATTCATTATTATATCCACTGAAGTACTACGAATAATCCTTATTAAATCTTTTAAACAAAGGAAACTGAGGCGGCATCATGAGTGCATGTAGTCATGAGAGCAGGGGACCTTGACTGGGTTCTGTTCTGGTTCTGTCTCTGCCAGACTTTGAAACTGCAGTTCTTCATGTTATTACCATGTTTTAACCACTCTTTCAACATTTCAGTCTTGCAAGAAGCTTCGTTTGTCTGTGGGTCTGTCAATCTGCCTGTAAATTCGGTTTCCTACAGTTACAGTGATTTTTATTATATATACTACCATAATATTTTGTAACACTGGCAAAGTGACAGGGTATACAGTGTATCTTTGGTGTGGGTTGAAACTGACAGTGAGTGTACTCACAATCTGCAGTGTTACAGAATAGTCAGAAACCCCAGCCAAGATTCAGGCACTCTGAAAGCTAGTCCCTGACCCATTTTTTTCCAGTCTAAATAGATGGGACAGATAAAGGATGGAAGAAAAGGAAGGCTATTACTATCATTTTACTGCTGGGAACAGAGGAGCAGGGAAATTAAAGTCATACCAACAGTCTGTGGCCCAGCTAAGAGCAAAAGCAAAATCTTGGAGCCATAGCCTAGTGCTTTAAGCCATCCTGTTTCTGTAAGTAACACTAATGAAGAGATCCTTCAGTGGAAGCGCGCTACAGAATTTAAGTGGAGAGCACCATTTTACACTGATCATGCTGTTTCCATTGCATTCCTTTGTCATTCTGATTTTAGGATGAACTCCATTTCCTTTAGTGAAGAAAATAACCCTTTCCCTATACAGTGAAGAACAAGTAACATCACAAAGTGTTTTTACAAGGAACGTCCAGTACAAGATTAAAGGAAGCCAGTGAGGGAAACAGTTTGTTATATTTTCATTTCTGAAAGCCACTAATCCTCTGGGTACTGATATTGGAGACCAGTTCCTGGAAGTTTTCTCTCCTGCAGACATAGAATAGATATGAGTTATTATTTTTAAGCTTCTGAGCATTGAACTATTCACCTCTATTGTTTATCTGACATGACAAATGCTGCCGACTGAAGGAACCTTTGTCTTCAAACCTACAACTGCAGAATTTTCCATTTTGCTCTGTTTTCGAGTGAATGCAATTACTTAGCAAGTATTCAGAAGCTATAGAAACACATCCAGGCTGCTAAATTATATTTCATTAATTTTAGGCACGGACCCAGAAGAAACCATTCTGAATGCTTTTAAGATTTTCGACCCAGAAGGAAAAGGCCACATAAAGGCAGACTAGTAAGTTTATTTCAAATCCTTTTAAAAGAATAATAGTAATAATAATAATAATTGCACAGGTTTAAAGAAAAGCTTAAAAGCTATATATTTTGCAGTATTTTAAGAGGCAGAAGAGCTGTCAGTCAGAGAAAACATTTAGCTTTGTAAGCCAGAGTTAAAAGACTGGACTATTGTATGAATGTATTTGTATACTAAAAAGAGATGTTATTGTCTTCAGACACTGCAAGAGGCAATGGAAATATAATCACATGTAGGCTATTAGATAGCCTTTTCTGAAGGGTTGGATATAAATCAACACATGAGTCTTTGTAGATTAACTCCATATGTAAAATGAAAATGAATGTCTGGTGCCTAACTGAGAGTGCTTGTCTAAAATGGGAAACCTAGCCCCCTTTTAACCAAAGTGATCAATTTAATTAACTCTGGGACATGGTTTTAGTGAGGATGTTTTCCTTGTTACATGTTCACCATCAGAGCCTTCTGCTTCTAGACAATAATTTGCTGTAAAATTCCACTACGTATGGTGGGAGCCAAAGCAAATAATACTGGTAATATGATTACAGTTATCGTCAATATGACTATATTTTAAATAAGGAGGCAGGACCTCATTTGTATTCACAAACTGTTACACCACCAAAGCCAGGTAAAAGGACTTGAAGTGCTAATTGCACACATGTAAATACTCACTGCACTGTCAGAGGATGTAAGGAGACCCTCAGGTAAATGAGATAGATAAGATCAGATCAGGGCAGTGGATGAGGAGATCTGACCTATGGTTCTAGTGAAATGCTTTATATGCCTAGATTTATCTATATACTTAAATTCCGTCAGGAATTTGGGGTCTATATTTCCACTACAGGTAGATTTTATAAAGCGTAATGTGTATAGGAAATTTATTAGGGAACCATGAGCTACAGAACTGTATTTGCACCAATTAATTCTGCTAATGTCATCATAAGGTAAATGAAAACTAAACCTTTGACCAGAACCTCTAACATGGGAGTTTTCTGTGACATTATCTGCAACTACCAATGTCTCATGAAAGTTAGTTGAAAATACAAAATTCACACAAAGCATTTCTATCCATTACCAGTATGCTTTTCTACGACAGTAAGCCAGTGGGTCTGAGAGTCCTATTCTGGTAGACAGTATGTAAAAACAAAGCAACAAAACAGTCTTTTCACTAAACTTCCAAAGTAATTAAAACACAAGTGGATGTAGCAAACAATCTGAAAGAACAGGGGTTAACAGTCATCCCTATTGCTTTTGGGTTAACATTATCCAACCAGCTGGGGAAGAACAGTCAGAGAAACACATCAGAAGTGACTCAATCAGAATAAAAGGTAGCCTGTTGCCAAATAGGCCAGATCACACAGTAGTGAAATCACAAGCATGAAATACAACCCTCTGATAATACAAAGCCCATGAAATGTTGTATTTCCTGCCACTATCTGTAACAATATACTGCATACAAAATCTGCAGCTTGCCACCCTGTGTCCAGTTCTACATTCCTTGGATGCTGGAAGCCAGTTGGAGTTTGGGGCAAATTAGGAATGCAGTATCACGCTCCAAAATGAAGATGAGAGAGGAATACTTTTATTTTTCCTTGATGGAAAAGGTCAACCTTGTCCCTACCCCCACTGCACTGCTAACATTAGACAATTGTTTTAGTTCATCACCACAACAGAGCATAATGTTTACTTATTAGACCCGAGGGTAATGTTGATCATTACAGAACAAACCATTAAATCAATTCCGTGAATGTCTTTGAGGTTTAACTTCTATTCATATGCTTCCAGAATTTAGACATTGGAAGGTTTTGAAATAATTTTTCTGCTGGTTCAAACAGCCATTTCAAACGACAGTTAATGTTAATAAATAATATTTCTCCATATTAAAAAATCCTGGAATGTTTCTCTCTAAAAGCAGCCATACTGACCTTTTAGTCAGAACTTCTTTTTATGTTCATGGAGTTAACATCCTTGTGGGGATTTTTATGTCTCTTCCCTCTGCGTGTTTTCACCTCTAGTCTGGAAATGACTCACTTAGTCCATCTGATGGAAGCTGGGATGGAGTCTTCTAACCTTTCCAGAAGCTCCAGGAGTTTATAACTTACTTCCAAGTTCAATGACAGACTTTGTTTGTCTGCATCATTATACCACACATCAAATCCTTCCTATAGCATGATGTCAAAAAGAGAAAATGCTTTTGGTCACATTCTCAGCTGGTGTAAACTGGCATAGCGTTTGGAAAGGTTGGATGATTCAGTCCTAAATGCCATTTGTGGGACAAAGTGAGTCAGGCCAACATCAACGGTGTCTCATCACCATGCAAAAAAAAAGTGTTCAGATTTGTACCAGATGAAAATGGACCCAGGGAGCTGAGCTGCATTCCGGACCTTTGGAGCTTAGTTTGGCTGAGCTAGTGATGTTTTTCATCATAGCTATAGAGCACTGCTCATTTCAACTCACCTGTTTTCCTCCAAGCCAGCATTATAGAAAGAGCAAACCTAGTGGAAAACCAAGGTGTCTCATAGATTTCACAGGTAATTTAAAAACCCAAAGTATTTGTACTAGTAGAAGGAGCTGATGCCAGGCAGGACAAGAGGTGACATTTAGACTTCTATGTCAAGGCAAATGGATATTCTCTTTTGCCCAGAAGACTTTGATTTTTTCTTTGAGAAACAAATAGTCTCCAAAAAAAAGAAGACAAGATACACAAAGAAAAAAGTGTATAATCTGTAGCTTTGGAAACTGTGAATGTTTGTTTCCCTATAAAATAAATAATGGAAAATGTGCATAGATCCTTAACTCAGTCCTCCTTCCTTCTGAGAGTGCCAGAGCCTACTGGGCTGTGCATCAGAAGACTGTAATTAGATATTTGATCTTTTCTTTTCCCCTAAATACTTTAAGCATGTGAACAGAAGACACACAGTGCCCAGATCTCTTTAATTCAGTCCTGTTTGTGATGAAGTTTATTTGTGACTTCTGACAAAATTGCTGTAAGTGCTTCCTTCTATTCACCAAGCTCCTTCCTGTATCACACTTCCTATTTACATTTGCTAATGCTGTTTGCCCCTGTGCACATATATCCAATAATCAACTCATGCTGATGAGGATGATCTCTCTACTCTTTCACCCACTGATTGTTTGAGAGTTCCACTTCAAAAAATGCAAGCACATAACAAATGGCTAGGATAACAAAATAGAAAGAGCAATATGAGAAAAAGAGCAGAGAAAAGGCTTTGCTAAATAAAGAGAACGGTAAAGTCATGGAGGAAAAATATATACAATAGCTTAAGCTCTTTCTGAGACTTCAGAGTATTTCCTAGAACTTGAATAGATATTTTCACTCTTGTCCTTATGGTTAAGATCCTTATTCATTACCCAGAACCTTCTTTTTTCAGTTTTCCCTTTCTGTCCTTCCAAATGAGCACTTCACATCAACAAGAAAGAGATTCAGAAGTGTATGTGCCTCTTATGCAAATCGGGCCATGTCTTTGTTGTAGCCTTTTACTGGAAAAAATATGTGTGTCAGAGATAGGAAGAAGTTCAGTTGTAGCTTTGCCATCAAAACTACACTTTTATCTGTGTGATTTTCTTCACTCGAGATCCATGGTGTATGGGAGAAGAAAGGGAAGCTTTTCTGTTTTGCCTGAATATCTGCATCCGGAGTAGGTGAATTTTGCTCATATGGAAGTGTTCCTGCGCAGGCATGATTTCTATTAGAAATACTTAGTTTCAAATATTCACTTTAAAAAGCAGAAATAAGTATTCACATTAAAAAAACCAGAAAGGGCTGTTCCAGAAGAGCTCTTGCTCTCACTCCCCCACACAAATTCCTCCAAAAAGCAGCCTCTTTTCAAATCTACAAACAAAACCAGATTTCCATGCTTTTTCAGCTTTTGGGTTTGTACAACAGACAGCTCATCTGTTATCACAGCTTTACAGTATGCTTTACTGCTCTTGAAAGAATACTGAAAATATGAAGTACCTTTGGTAGTCAAAAAAGAGCCACCTCTGCCTCTTCAGTGTGAATGCAAACTCTTTGAGATTAATACAGGCATTCTGCAGGAAGGGGGAATTATTACTGACAGTGAAAGGGATGTTTATGTAACATAACTGAGTTCATACTGGTGGCAGTTCTAGCACATTGGGCATGTCCTGTCCTCAGCACTGGGTGAAGTACAAAGACATTTTATCTAATAAGCGGGTGAGGCTAAGAGCAGTGATCATTCTCCCTGGCTTCTCTATTCATTCACCTGTGAACTTAGGTAAAAAAATTACATGCTCGACTGATTTCCCACAATGGCTTTGAAAACAGAGGGTAAATCAGCTGAGAGCCTGTCCCCAAAATATTCTCTTTCATGTAATTGCATAAGATGCAGATTGTGTGTGGGATAAGCTCCTTGTTACAGTGCTGTAACTCCAGAACAAGACATTGTACCATGAAATACAACAGGTCTCATGCAGTTTCATGGTCTCCTCTGGGAATGACTGCATGCATATAAAGGGGTTCTCAGATGATGATTCGGAATAGCTGTTGGAGTTCTCTTTCAAGTCCTCTTTCTCATTTCATGCTCTGTTCCTTTCATCCTCGGATTTTACAGAAAATGTCCTCTCTTTTGGTTTTGTGAAGTGATCCAAACTTTTAACAGCAAGTGAGAAAACCTACCGTTTTAGGTTAAGATAACCATAGCAAATTGCTGTATTTCAATTACAGTAATAACCTTAAACAATTTTAAACCTCTATAAAATGTCACAAAAGCAAAATAAGTTGGCAGAGCGAGGCATTGACACTGATGGGTGCCCACAGAACATCTTTTACAATATGATGTAAGGATTAACAGCTCTAATTTATGCGGTCACACAAATTTTCTTCCAGGCAACTTCAGGAGGGATCTTGCCATCTGAATTGTCATGTGCCATTATCACCCTTTAATCGGGTTATTTCGTTTTATTTGAACAGCATCAAAGAAATGCTTATGACACAGGCAGACCGGTTCAGTCAAGAAGAGGTAAGGACCCTCTTTACTCAAATTAGGAATCTATTTTATTCAGCAATAAGAATTTGCCCCTCTTTAAATGCATGAATTCAGCTGAAATCCAGACTGAGAGAAGGATGGTGCCAGCTCTAGCAATTAGGAACAATTCAAAGCATCTCCTCTGAATAGCTCCGTGGCTACATCAAACAGATTGTTTGGACTTCCATCCAAGTGTAAGCGTGGCCTATCTCTTGCTGTTCTTTCCTATGGTGAGATGGGCAATGAATTTACTAGAGTTTAAGTGGGTTTGGGTGGGGACTGTGATCTGGTTTCCATTTCTGTGAGTTATTTTGTTTGAAATCTGAAATGAGTTCTGAAATGAGGTACTGACTTTGTGGTTTGTGTGAGACTGAACATGGATTCTGCTGGCTGGGAAGAATTTAGAGGGACTTCATTTTCAGAAGAGGAGCTTGAGCGGAGTTGGTTCATGGCAAGAACAGTCCGGAGTGCAGTAGTTGGCCAGGGCTTACCTGGATTTCAGGAATGCTCTTTTTGACAGGGTACTTGTTGGGATTCTGGCAGGGCTGTATTAACTGGTTGTGTCCTAATTCCTATTTCAATTTTACTGAAGCTAAGCAATAATTTTCCATTGAGGTTAATGGATCAAGGCAGAAGGGAGCTGAACTGGGGGGAAAACGAAAAACAGTACATGTTGCTGTCCCACAGTCCTATGTTTGTAACTCTTATCTCCTGTTTGCTTGGCAGATTAAACAGATGTTTGCTGCTTTCCCTCCAGATGTCTCTGGTAATCTTGACTATAAGAACCTCTGTTACGTTATCACCCACGGTGAGGAAAAAGACTAAGAGGAAAGACATGAGCTTCTCCTGTGATGATGCACCGAGTTATTTCATAATGCTTTTGTGTGCAAGACAAAGGGCTAACCATTCAGTATGTGAAGCCATGTGGTCATCAGAAGAGAACCAATAAAACAATTGAAATTGGATTAAAGTTATTTAATGCTCCTGTTTTTATAAAATATGAAAATACCAATTTTGTGAGTTTTTTCCCAGCCTTTTTTTTTCCTGTTAGTGGTTTGAAATGGAATTTTCTTGATGAACTGGTGCTTTTATGATTTATTGACATCCTAATGTTCACCAGATGGTCCACTGGGCACTGCAGTGTTGCTTAACCTCTCGTCTTTTATACATAAGCTCCATGTATTAATTTAGAAATCCTTTAACTTATTGCACCAGGAATAGTATTTAGTAAATAGAATTCTGTTCCATTTCACAGCCCCTAGCAGTGAAAATGTAAATAAAAGAATCTTAAGTTCTTGTGAATATGCAACATGCCCTCTCTATCATAGTGATGTGGCCAGTTTCTGAAGCCACTTGACTCATTTGCTTTGGTACAAAAGAATAGAAATAGTAGGAGAGTGGCTGTTTTTCTCATGATATAATTTACCTAGTGCATTTAGAAACCAATAATAGCAAATTTCACCCTTCATAGTTACCTTTATTATGTGTAGGAGGTTGTCTATGAAATAACAATAATGTCCAGTCTTTCACTCCCTGGTATTAGCCTTATTTTACAGGTGAGGCACACACCGAAAGGATTTGTTGCCAAAGGTGATCAGAAGTCTAGGGACAAAGACTAGAGAAGAACCCAGGAGCAGTAGCCCAGGGTTGCACATGAAAGAGGACTACTTCTCCCTTTCATAATCCAAGTTCAGCGTGGTTTCTAAAACGGGCTACAGTTTCTTGTACTTGGACTTCTAGGAACTGGACGCATTTTGCCTATGTGGAATATTGCAGGAGTGCTTCTTGTGTGGGAGTCAGAAGGATGTTGCAGCCAAAGGAAAACAAGCGTCTGCTGTTTTAGCAACTAATGAAAAGGGTTTCCTTTTGCATCAGTGTTGTTGGCGCCACAGTCCCACAGACACTGAGGGGAAGTAACAAGC